TCTACTTACCCTAGAGGGTGTTTTAGACACTGTGCCTTTCAGGTGACTGACTCCAGGGACCGTGACAAGCCCACAGGAGCGGCCCTGGGCGCCCAGCCACAGCCAGCGGCTCCGGGAGGTTGTACCCAGCGGTCATTCCTCCACGCCCAGCCGCCGGGACCACGGCACCGAGGCGGGCCGTTGGTCCCTAGCTGTACAAAATCATCAAAGGATGAGGACATTTCATGAAGGGAGGTCCCAGCAAAACTCACAGCAAATGTGAATTCCGCAAGCGCAGGGGGACATAGCTGACTCAACAGGAAGTCACCTGGGTGGACAGCAGGGGCGGCCTGGGCCTGGAGGGGCCTCAGCCACAACGTCCCTGTTCCCCTCGTGTTGTCAAGGCGTTCGGTGCACACAGTCCCAGGACTGTGACACTCAGGGCTCGGAGCTACGGCCAACGGGGTGGATGGAAACTCAGCAGGCCCCAGGTCAAGGCCGATGGGAGGTGTGTGTGTGTATCAGCTCAGGGCTTCCCGAGCCTACGCTGTGGGCATCTGCGCGACACAGTCCATGGGCTGGAGAGGCAGCCAAAGTGCAGAGCTGGCCCTTCCACAGTCGGAAAAGGGAGCCAGCTGCCCCCTGCCCGATTCACGAGGACCCCGCTTTCCAGTGGGGTTACAACAACAGCACGGAGGCGGCGGAAACGGTTCCCACAAGTGCCTGTAATTGCACCCGTGACATTTCTACCCGGTCACGCCAGCATCTCAGGGTTCCTCTCGTCATTCTGTTAGCTCTCACAGGCCAGGGGCGGGTGGCATTTTCTCCCCACACTGCATGGCCGTGAGGGCGAGCGCCGGAGGAGGTGATCGTGCAGCATGTAGAAAGCGGGAAGCCTCCGTCGTCGGAGCACAGCCCCCGCCCCCATGCTGACCCTCCCCACCTCCCGCCCCTGTGGGGTCCTCACCTTGACTGACACGATGCTCACACCCCCGGGTCACTGGGCAGCGGTGCTTCCCTCTCTCTGGTTCCCACTGGCTCCCCTCGGAGCAGGCCTCGGTGACAGGAAGCTGTCCTGGGGGTGGGGGGCAGGCTGTGCACTGAGAGAGGCCCCGGCGCTAAAGGGGCGCCCCGGGGTCCAGGCAGCAGGCAGCTTGCAGTGTACGCGGTCAGCTCGGTAGTGGCTGTCCGGTCTACTGCGGGAGTTAGTAACCACGTGTCCTTCAGATCAGGCGGTTGGCATGGCAACACGGCACTCTCAGGTGTGGCTTCTTACAAAGTTCCCTCCCTCCCTCCCTCCTTCCCTGGTATTTCTTGAGCATTTACATCATGCCAAACTCCAGGCCAGGTACAGGACTCTCGGGGTGTGAAACCAGACACGAGCCCTGTGTCCGTGGGCCTCACGCAACAGCGAGGAGACGGGCGTGCATCGGTGTCGCAAATGGGCAGTTGTGAAAAGACATGAGGATGACGGAGAAAAGAACCTGGATGACAGCTGGGGATCAGGGGAGGGGAGGGGGGTAGGGATCGAGCAAAAATCGATCTTCCTTGATGATCGAGGAAGAAGGACGTGGACCACAGTGTGGTGACTGTAGGGGGGTGGGCATAAGGGGGGTAAACGGTGATGGGAAAAATACAATAAAGATTAAATTAAAAATAAACGAGCCTGGTGGTTAGAGAATGTGCCAGTAACGAAAAAGCCCGCCTGGTCAGGGAGGCGAGTGCCCCTGGAGGAAGTGGCGTTTCGCGGAGCCCCCAGCGTGAGCAGGACGGGCTGGTGTCACCGGGCGGGGGTGGGGAGTGGGGGGCAAGGGAGGAGCTGTAGTGGGAGGGTGCACTGCACACCCTGGGGACGGTCCGGAGGCCCGGGTCCCTGGGGCACAGAGCACTGGGGAGACCGACGTCGAGAAAGGGTCCGACGCGGTCAGAGCTGGGCCTTGAAGAAGGCCGGCGAGGCTGCGGAGTAGGGACGGAACCGAGTGGGGGCAGTGGGGCGGGGGCACAGACCCCGCCTGACCCCTTCCTGGAGCACAGGGTCTGCCGCCAACGACCACATCCCGGGCGTCGGGACGGGCACACGTCTCTGTCCTTATCTGAAAGTTCATTTCCACCGAGAGGGCAGAGGCTGAGCCACTTACAGGGTTTGCTCCTCTCTGGGTCACGGAGAGGCTGCCTTCGCTAACCTTCTCTCTCCCTGGACCCTGTGGTAAAGGGGGTTCCCGTGCCCCCGAACATTCCTGCGCTGGAGAAACAGCACGGGGCTAGGAATCAGGGACGCAGTTTCTGGCTTGGCTTCTCCAAGTCGGTGTCCCCGGCTCTGCAGCCTCCGTACAGTTGCTCTTGACGATCGAAGGAGATGACGGAGGAGAAGACTGACAAATGCCAGGCCTCGGAGCACGCTGTGTCTTTCATGAAGGGCGCCGTTTAAGTGGTGGTTAAGTGGTCCATTTTACATGTAGTTTGTGTGTGACCTAATTAATGGGCCAATAGTAAGGTGGGTATCATTTCTCTGGAGTGCCAACACCTGGCTGTAAGAACACGAGGGCTGGCAGATTACTGCCGTCACTCACCCTCAAGTTCACATCTGGCCTCGGGTTTCTATTCAGTGACATTGCTCAGGACGATCATGGTCGTTTTCCATGTTCCGTCTCTCCTTTTCAGCAGGTCCCTGAAACATGAGGAGTCTCCCCTTGCAGGAAGGCCCCGCCGCTGGAGGGGAGGAAACACCTATCCTTTCCTCTCGGGGGAGGTCAGCTGATAGCATGCATTTTCCAGGGCCGACCTCGTTTCAAATAGTGTATCGTTTCCCTGCTAAATGCACTTACCTGTGCAGCGTTTCCTGCCCTAATGTTGGGGGCCGCAGACTACAGTCGGTACATAAAGCTCTGCACAGGGGGTGCTTTCTGGCCAGTTCAAATGCCATCCTGTGTTTGGGAGCTGGATGGGGGTGTCCTCAGCGCAGCCACCGGGTGCATTCGTGCACTGCCTGGGCGGGGGTGGGGGCAGGTTTGTGAGAGACACCTTCACACTTGCAGATTACAAGTGCCAAGGGGGCCTGGTTGACTCCAGACGACACAGACTCCGCACCATCCATCATGCAACTAGCCCCTTATCCTCAGTGAGGCAAGATCACTACGGGGCTAATTTATTTCCACGACCGTGCGCTGTCTCAGCCTGTGTTCTGAGGAAACCACCGGGACGACACGGGCTGGGCGGTGGGGAGGATCCGCCCAATGGAATCTGAAGGGGAACTCAGCTCGAGTCCCTCAGGGTCTCCTCCGATCCCTCCACACCGGCCTCTGCCTCCCCAGGCCAGGACTGAGCCTCAGCAGCCGGCCGTGTGACCTCGGGCGCAGCTTTTAATGGGGAGGGGGACATCTGGACTTCAGTGGAAGCACCAGTCCTGCGTGGGGCTTTCGGAAGCATCTGCTGTCTCCTGGCCTCAGGGGGTGTGGGGCGGGGTAGATGCTTCAGATGAACAAACGGCCGACTGGTTGACCAGTTTTTCCATTGGAGCGCCTTGAATTCGGGTCTTCTCTCCGAATGGGCTGCCACTGGACGCTTTCGCTTCGTTAATATGACTATGCTTTGGCTGGAGAAAAGTCATTCACCATGAATCGAGCCCTATTTTCGTCTGAGTGTAATGCTCATGAGCGAACCTCTGCTTCACCTGTCCGGTAAAGGGCCGCATGGGTCAAGGGAAGGGAGGGACCCTTGGCTTCCACTGAAGTATCCCCAGTGTCATCCGGGGTTAGCGAGAGGTTCCGAATGGCCGGGTCCCTCGCCACTCCGTGAGCGACCCTCTGAGGCTGGGACTGACACGAGACCATCTTCCTGGAGAGAGGAGGGCTGGTCTTTCTGGGTGGGGTGTCCTTACTCAGACTCCCTCCTCAGATGCTGTCATTCAAGTCCCCGTGACAGCTGCTCGTTGAATACGCAGGCCGTGGGCACCTGGCATCAGAAAAGGCCCTGTCCCTCCTCTGAAGGTGTCTTAGAATTGTTCTACGTTATAGACGGGGCTTCCTAGCTTACGAAGCTCTTTGCCATATGTTATCTCACTTGGTTCTCGAACTACGAGGAAGACCAGGCAGGGATTAGTATCCTCACGTTCAAGGCAGACGAACAGACTCGGAGGGTCCCAGGGACTCGCGCAGTGTGGCGCAGGTGGGGCTGGAACCCAAGGCCCCCGTCTCCGCCGCAGCCAGTCTGCTTCCCACCCACCCACCCAGGGGAGTGAGAAATGGGGGAGCAGGGGGGCCTGCCGGAGCGCCCTGTGCTTGTCAGCAAGTCTGACGGGACCGGAGGGTGTCTGTGCTTTCTCAGTGAGAACCCCTGGGTGAAAACCGCTGCTGGCGGTGACCAGACCCCAGTGTGCACACACCTGCCATTGCTTTTGGCTTCTGAAAGGCGTGAAGGTGGCTCGTTTCACCACGTACACCTCAACCCACGGCCTGGCCGCAGCCTCATTCCCCTCCTCCTGCAGCTGTGCCTGGGGCCACCCGCAGGGGAGGTGGAGCCCTGGGGTTGGGGTGGTGAGGGGCCCTGGGGACACACAGTGTGGGCGGGTCTACCCCAGGGCTCCACGCTCTGGTGAGAGGGTGGAGGGTGTCAAAGGTGGGCGAAAGTGCCCGGCGGGGCAGGCGGCGAGTCGGAGAACCCCCGTTCCTTCCAAAGAGCCCTGCGCTCTGCGCCAGCCAACAGCTGCCGTGCCGCTTGTCAGGCCCAGAGCTGCCAGCGCTTGAGGTATTTCTCCAGGAGAATCGGAAAATCTGGAATTTTATGTAAATTCTCCTTATTAGGTTGTTAGCTGTTAAGGGCTTATTCAAACACGTTTAAACCTCTGTGGGTCGAAAACAAACGAAATGATTCTGCAAATCTCTTTTGCAACCTCTCCTCTTCATCATGGTAAGTGCGTAGAGTCTTTTGAGCAGAAATGCACCAGGACATGGAGACGGGGTGAGAAGCATCTTTATTGCCAGCAGGGTCTCCCGTCTTCCCCCCGCTTGCGAGGAAGACAGAAGGGGTTGCCACGCTGATGGGGCCAGGGGGCAGACAGAGCTTCCAAATGATCGCTTTTAGGCAGAACCTGTCCAAATACCCACCTTCCTGTCTTGGAACGGAGTTGGCCTTTCCCCTGCCCTCCACCTGGCAGCTGAGGCCCTTGCACAAAGCTTCCCCATGGCACCCACACACTGCAGGCCGAGGTGGGGCCGTGCAGCGAATACCCCACCTTCCCCTGCCATCCCGGAGAGCATGGCGGGGTCTCAACAAGTGAGAATTCTAAAAATAGACGAATGGCCTCCCACTGACCTTCATGAGTGTTCTCAAAGGCAATGCATCACAAGCATTGGTACTTGGCCTATCATTAGTAAAGGTTCACTTGCGCCGCATCTCCCCAGTTCCGGAACGACAGGGCGAAGAGATGTTTTTCAAAATAAAGACAGAGGGGATGGTTTGCTGAGCTCCCCAGACAGACAACACTCTTTCTTTGGTCATTTCGGCCAAGCTCGGAGTGGCTGGGTGGACTCCCCAGCTCACCAAGTCACCTTTGGGTATCCGTCTCAAGGATCTTAAATTAAGAATGTCACCAGAGACACTTGGACTCTTGAGAAAGGATGAAGGAGATAAGACCAAGTCCTCCAAAGCACACAGTCAGAAGCCACACCTTCTCACCTCTCTAACTGGCAACCGGGAGGGAGCCCCCACGTGAACTGGTGTTTGGGTGACAGTAAGGCAAGTCCCGCCCAGCCGCGAAAGCCAAGAAATGAAGGATGCGCACTTTCGTTCTCCGAGTTCTTGCCCCCGGACTCGATCCGGAAGGTGCAGACGCTAAACGCTAGCGCTTTCCCTGTTCCCTCGTCCTTTAGGAGGAGGACCTGCTTCCTTTCCGCTGTGCTTGAAAATGAAAATTCAAGGGGTGGGAATAGAAACCAGATTCAGGAAAGAAGCGAGAGGCAAAGAGATGACCGGCAATCCGATAGAGTGAGTGTGTCTCCCCGGGAACGGCGGCTGGATCTTCAGCGCAGACCGTGACGAACGGAGGGCAGAAACAAGTCTATTTCTCTCTAGGTCACCCTAGGGGACCAATCTAACCTATTTACAAGTGGTCTCGGGGGAAGGATCTTTAGATAGCTATCTTGTCACCATCCTTTTCGTCATCTTCCGTGATCACTTTGGGTCCCTCCTCTCTGAGCAGGGTCACACCTGCAAAACAAGCACAGACCTGCAATTAGGTGCCTCTAATGAAAACCCTAGACAGCCGTTCAGCACAGACACAGCACAGGGGAGCATGGCAACCTGAAAGCTCCCCACGTCCGCACAGCTAAGGGTGGCAGCGGGGAGTGGGGGCGGGGGGCTGGGTGGCCTTATTCGGCCTGCCCAGGGGAGCTGTGGCTCAGTGAGGACACTGCTCTGGTTAGGAGGGGACGCTCGACCTGGGGGTCAGAGGTAACTTCCCTCTCTTCTCTACCTGCTGTGGTTTTGTCTGTGGCCCCGTGGGGTGGGAAGCACGTGGATTTGGGAGTCCCAGTGATCTGGACTCTCATTCTGCCGCTGGATCAGCCCTGGGCCAGCCAACACCTTCATGTCTCGATTTCCTGTTACGGAGAATGAGGGCAGGGATACTTCTACAAAGGGTCATTTTGACAGTTAGTTAAGAAGTACGTAACAGTGCTCAGCCCAGAGCCACACCCGGGAGCAACTGAAAGTCAGCTTTTCCTCTGCTTTCACAGTTGGCTGGTTTATTTTCCTCTTGTAAAGGCGTGGTAAGCCTCATGAAGTCAAACTTGAACACATTTGACTAACATCTGGGGCAAATACTGAGCTTAGGCTCTGAACATGCTACTTCTAAATGCCAGTACTAGTTGATAATAAGTTCACAGAGTTCAGAGCAAAGTAAGAGAGTAAGGAACAGAGCCCTGGCTGGCGTAGCTCAGTGGATTGAGCACGGGCTGTGAACCAAAGTGTTGCAGGTTCGATCCCCAGTCAGGGTACGTGCCTGGGTTGCAGGCCATGACCCCCAGCAACCGTACATTGATGTTTCTCTCTCTCTCTCTCTCTCTCTCCCTCCCTTCCCTCTCTAAAAATAAATAAATAAAATCTTAAAAAAGTTTTTAAAAAATAAAGTAAGGAACAGATAGTGAGTTTTCACACAGCTCTGTGGCTACAGTATAAAAAAAGCTACTCTATTTCAAGCTGACTTTTTCTTCTTTGGGGGATTAAAACTATTATTTCTTATACGAGATTTTAGGGATGTTAGGTGGTTTCTCTCTTAGCATCCTTACTAGTCAAAATTCAAAGTTGCTACCCACCCCTAGCATGGACCCCACAGTATTTTGTTTGAAAATGTTAGTGGTCTGTGAAATCCTGAAGCCTGAGCAAAATCATCTGGACTGATGGGCCCAGAAAAGACCATCTGAGGAGGCCTGGGTGGTCGCGCTCATCCTGTGAATTGTGAAGTGGGGTCGTTTTAACACAAAGACAAAGGATGCTGTGATTCAAGGCCAGCCCTCCCCCACTCTGCCATGCCCCCAGCCAGCCAGTTTCGTTTCCCATCGTTGCCCACCACTGCATCACATCCCCTCCCCCATAATTAGAGACCTTCCTGTTTGCGAAGGCTTCACAAAGAGCTGCCCTTCAGGGAGGAGAGCAGCGCACCACAAGAGGCCTCTCTGCAAACCCTGGAAGTCGTTCAACAGCAGCAAATTAATGAAAACTATGTGTTGATCTTAATGACTGCTCATTTGATTCAGTTCCTAGTTTGTTCGTGTGGGTTCTTTACCAATTAGCTGATATTTATTGGAGAAGAAAACAATTTCAAGAGTCTAGCTGAAGCTAAGTCTTTGGTGTAAATCACTTATGAAACACAGTGGGAGATATTTCTCTCTTGCGCCAGCTGCGTAGAGGTTCAGGTTTTTATCTGGAACGAAGGCTGTCTTGATAGGAGAACACGGAACTGGCTATGCTCAGCCTGCAAACTTTCCATCCTACCTTCCTCGGTATCACTTCACACGAAGCCAAAATTGGAATTAATTCAAAAAGGGCAAGAGCCTTAAAACCCCCAGGTCCCAGTCAACTTTCTGATCATTCTGAGTATCCCTGACACCTGGTCATATGCACATCTCGGGATTCCAGGGAAGGCTCCGCCCTGTTTAAGTCAAGGTCAGCTGTCAAAGTCAGCCCTTCCCAGAGTGGGCTAGGCCTTCCCCAGGGACACGGGAGATAACTGCAGGTGAAACGGGAACTAGCTTTTGTGTGTGTGGAGCTAAGCATCGATCTTATCGTGGGAAATGTATGGTAGTTCATAAAAATCTTGGTTTTATGAATATCACGGCTTGGAGGGAGGCTTCCGCCAGTAGCGTCTGCAGGGAAGCACTACCTCCTTATTCTCGATGCTCGCTGTTGCTGGTTTTGGTCAGCTGAAAATGAACGTGGTTGGCTAACTGTTGTCTTTCTGGCTTAACCCAGGCCTGACCCTCGTGCTGTCCTGTGGGAAGCAGAGGTATGTCACTGACAGAATGTCCTACAGCCAGAAAGTTTTGCCTTCAGTGGTCATTCAGCATCCCATAGGTCACTTAACCTATCTGAGCCTCGGGTGACTCGTCTGTAAAATTGGCCATGAAAGAGTGTTCATTTCACACAGTGGGGGAGGGGGCATTGCCACCAGCCACATAGATTTAGATGTCAGCCACGCCTTACCTGAATCTCGGTTACAGCCCTTTTACATCATAGGAATCGCTGGACAATACGTCCATCTCCCCCACTGAACGGTGAGGTTCTCACAAGGTATTTCAGCATCCAGTACGGGACTGGGCATATAGTAGGGACTTGGAAAATGCCATTTCTTTCCCTTCTGGCCTCTGTGCTGGAGAGCTTAGGGGACTTGGATGCTTAGTAGAGCTGCCTGTGTTTTTAAGGCCAAAGCCATCGGTCCAAGGTCTCTAAGGGTTGGTTAGCCTTACAAGCAAGCTGCCTTAGCCCGTGAGCCCACCCAGAGCACCGTCTAAAGTTGGCCACCTGCATTCCAGCCTCTGATTCACGGGAGCCAGGGCCAGACACCGCCTCCCCTGGTAAGCCACACCGGAGAGAGTGCTCTGTTCCCAGCAGGACATAAGCCACACCAGAGAGAATGCTGTCCCCAGCAGGACAGAAGAGGTGTCACTTTCAAAGGGTGGGCCAGTCTTCTTTCTACAAGTACAGCATTGAGCTGAGACCTCCAAAGGTTCACAGCTCATGCCCCAGTTTTCCAGGAAGCTTCTTTTCAATGACTCTGGCCTCATTATTCTTTACTTTCCCGGGTTCCTTTTGCCAGAGATGGGAATGAAAGACTTCATTTTCCTTAAGTAGACCTCAGCCACTCAGATTTCACCAACCACAACCCAATGCCCCCTGCCGCACAGCGAGAGGGGCACCCCGACACCGTCAGCGAGAGGGGAGACCCTGGCGACCGGGGGCCAAGCTGGGAGCAAAACCTCGAGCTAGTGCTGAAGCCCGAGATGACTTGTCACTGAGGAGTCATCTGGCAGTGGGAACCCATCAAATAAGCTCATTAACTGAGGGGGAATGAAGGCAGTTAGCCGGAGGTTTAGAACAGAGCAAACCCTTGTCCGTTCCTCACTTGCCAAGGGCTAATGCGAGGAGACCTCTCCAGAATGCGTTTGCCTGCGAGCTCCCCTCGGCACTAACAGAACCAACGTGAGTCTCTCCGAGCATCTGCTGAGGGCTCTGTCCTTATCAGCCTAACTAGCGTTCTGATGACTGCCAAATCTTTAGATACTAAAAGCCTCTTTAAAAATAAAGTGCTTCAGCTAAATATGCTAATAAAAGCTAGAATCACAGAACACGATCTATAATTGCCAATACTCCCAACACAGAGATTTGCTGAGTCAGGGAATTTCCTAATGTGTGCAGAGTCTCCGGATATACAACCCCCCTCTCCCGCCCGGTGTACTTCGCACTGTTTGAGAAACATTTTTCGCTCAATCAGAAGCTGCTCTCTTATGATATAGCTATTTGGAGGCGGGCCGCTTCTGCTGCCAGATAAACAGAGCTCAACATTCTAGGAAGGTCCTCGAATTACACATTTATATGGAGAGGTAAACCCTGGTGGCTAAGAAAATTCTCACTCGGACAAACAGGCTGACTTATCTCCAGGAATATAAGGTTGAGCAGAGAATGAAGGGAAGCTAGCATTTACTGAGGTCTCTCAACTAAGCCAGGAGCTGTGCTACGTGCTTTGTCTGCTTTGCTTAATGGGGTGAACACTCCAAGGAGATAGGTGTTATGGCCCTCCATCCTGACGTGGGTGAAGCAATGGAGGCTCTGCAAGTTTGTGACAGTTGCCCAGGGTCCCGAGGCTAGAACGGAGCAGAACCAGAGGTCAAACCGAGACCTTCCCGACTCCAAAGCCCAGGCCCAGCGCTGTGTGCAGGCGACCCCTGCCCCCAGCCTCCGAGAAGAGCTTCGATAACCATAAATCCAAGAACGGGTAGAAAATCATCATTCTCCTGATGGACAACTTGGCACTGCAGAATTGCGATCTCCAAATAGAATACATTTAAAAACCCAAATACTTATTGAGCATTGCTATGCAGAAGGGACTGAACTAGGCACCCAGGTCAAGGCCAGCAGCTGAGGACAATCACAGCCAGTTCTCACGGACCCATCACACAAGTCATTGGTGTAAATCAATTGAAATAACAGCCACAAGAACAAAGAGATGACAAAGTCTTGGTGTTTGCCTGCCTATGTCTGAGGCAGAGCTAGTTCAGAGTAGGAAAGGGTCATTGTGGACTCGGACGGGTCTGTTGGCTGAGACTTGAAAGGTGACTGGAAGCTGGACGGAGGCAGAGCTTGGGGGCAACGTGTGATGCGTTGGTGGCTCCCAGAAGAGAGGAGCACACGTCAGTGCAGGGAGGAACGCACATCAGTGCAGGGAGGAGCACACATCAGTGCAGGAAGGAGTGCATGTCAGTGCAGGGAGGAGTGAACGTCAGTGCGGGGAGGAACGCACGTCAGTGCAGGGAGGAGCACACATCAGTGCAGGAAGGACTGCATGTCAGTGCAGGGAGGAGCACACGTCATTGCAAGGAGGAGTGAACGTCAGCGTGGGGAGGAGCACACATCAGTGCAGGAAGGAGTGCATGTCAGTGCAGGGAGGAGCACACGTCATTGCAAGGAGGAGTGAACGTCAGTGTGGGGAGGAGCACACGTCAGTGCAGGGAGGAGCGCATGTCAGTGCAGGGAGGAACACATGTAGCTGGTGACAAGCACGACCGAGGCAGGTTCGGACCCAACCCACTGGTCCTCGGTCCGTTTCTCCAGAGCTGTGCCTCTCGCGCCCTGCGCCTCCTGGCCTGGTCTGCTCCTCAGAAGTCAGTGACCCTGCGTGCACCCCGACAGCCTTTCCATGGGGTCTTCCCCTGTGCTGTCCATGTTTCTTTCTTTTTCTTTACCGAGTGAAATAGTGGGGCAACATGGCTTTACAGTAATAGCCGGAGCTCACCTCCTCCCCCAAGCGGCCCCTGTGGATTGCTGTGCTGCCACAGTCTCATCTTTACACGCACGTGGGTAGAGCGGAGCTCGCTCAGATGCCTGTGCTAACGCGGCGCACTGAGACCCTGCCCGAGGGTGGGACGGCCCTGGGTCAGGACCCCCGTGGGTGATTTCTGGGCATAATTTCATCCATTCATCTATCATCTAATCATCCCGTCACCAACCCAGTTATTAAATCAGCCATCCCCTCAGCAACTTCAACCACAGAAGACTTCAAAGTGGCTAAGTTACTTAAAAAGTCTACCAGTTTCTTTATCTGTAAGGGAGATAATAGCTACTTTATCGTGTCATTCAGTTGATTAAAAAACTCCATCCTCTACCACCCTGCCCCCACTATCTACATAGAACACACACACACACACACACACACACACACAGAGTCACACTGTAATCATGCATACACATGGCTTATCCCCCAATCCGCACATAAAATTTTCAGGGACAAGACTGTAGCTTACACGCTGGCTGCCCTCATGCCTGGGGTTTTGAACAACGTTCAGCGAGATTTCTTGGCTTGATTTGACACGTATGAAGACAGCTATTATTACTTCCACATCTGTCTTTCTCTCCCTCTCTCTTCCTCCTGTTTTGAGGATTTGGTCAATGTGTCCAAGTGTCTTGGGAGAATCAGCCCTCGGCCACCGAACGCTCGATCCACGGAAGACTGGGGAAGGGGGCATTGCAAGTCTTCTCAAGGGCCCGCTGACACTGCCGTTCCCTTGCACCAGTGAATCTGGCCAGTTCTGCTGAAGTACGGGCAATGCTCCCACCCTCCCCGCATCTCCACGTCGGCCCCGGGGGAGCCGCCAGTGAGGGGAAACCTGAAAGGCAGCAGTGAACGCGGCTCCTCCCCGGAGCACTTCCGAGCAACACAGGCTGCTGGGCAGGACAAAGGCCACGGCCGTGCCACCTCCAGATGGTGAGGCTCTTGACCTGGTCCCAACACCCCCCGCAAATGGCCTGCACCAGCACTTTTTACCTGCTGCCCAGGGGGCCGGGTTCAGGGCAGGTGTGTCTTTTCTCCTTGGCTTTTTCTGTTCCAGGTCACTGTTGTGAAGGGCTGGACTCATTTTGTCCTTTGGGTGTCTCTCTTGGACCTCGTATCTTTTAATTACATGCTTGGAAAGCACACCTGCGTAGTTGGGGGAACGGGGAGGGGAGAAACGGGGTCGAATACATACATCCTCACAGCCACGGTCTGCGCGCCCACCTTTGCACTGACACCCGGTGATGGCCGCCCCTGTATCTGCTCACATTTATCCCGATAACCCCATTATCCTTCTAAGAATTCGTATCCATTGAGGCTACACTAGAGAATATCTGTGCGCAGGGCTGTGTGTGCCTGATGTGAATGTAACATTATTCCCACCAACACGCGTGGGGAGAAGGTGAAGCGAGGGACCGTGGTGCCCCAGGAACGCGGCTCGCAGGTGCGGGGCCAGGGACCGAGCCCGGGGTCGGCGTGCTCGTCGTCAGGGAGACGGGCTGTGTGCTGCCGCGCAAGCCCCGGGCTCGGCTCTCCGGTGACGTAATTAGTTCCGAGCCACCCCCACCCGCCTTCTCACCTCTCCCCTTCTCTACGGGAAGTTTTTCTCCACCGTTTATAAACTCTCCGAAAACAGCCTCCTCTGTGACCCTTCCACAATCCACTGCCCCGACTGAGCTCCGCGCCCTTATCTAAGGGCGTCCAGTATGACGCTACTTCTTGCTGCCCATTTCAGCTACTTCCGTGCCTTTGTTGTTTGCTTGTTTAAAATTAAACTTATTGGGGCAGCACCGGTCCTTCCCAGAACACTCTTGTGTTCTTTTGCTTTGTGTCCCTTTAAATGGGTTACGCATAGAGAGGACCTTCAATAAGTGGACTGGAGTGAGGGAGAAAAGGGAATAAAACAAAACACTTGGGAACAAGAGCGTGTCACGTGTCACATGTCACATGCAAGGTTGTTATGGGGACATGCTGGCTGGTCACCAGACCATTTTGCTTTGCTCCCGGACACATAGCTGGGTTATATTTCCCAGCCTCCCTCGTGGTCAGGTGAGGCGGGCGACAGAAGGAAGCGATGTGAGTCCTTGCAGACCCGTCCGTCGTCCACTCTGTCTCCCCGTGTCTGCAGGATGCTGACGGGTGCTGCTCCTGGGCGCGGTGACTTTGGAAATTGTGCACTGATGATGCCTCAGCCTCCGTCAGCCCGAGTCCCTGAGTGACCATTTGGAGCAGACCTTGCCCCCCACCCCTAGCTCCCACTGTTGGTGAGTGAGAAATAAACTTGCATCCTGTCATCCACGAATAGTTTGGGATGTATCTGTTACAGCAGCTGGCTGCATGACTGAGTTACAGCTAACACAGGTGAAGACACAGTACCAATGATTAAGAAACACCCACACGACTGAGGGGACAATGGGAGACTGTGATGTAGCAGCACACGGGTCCCCTTCACACACAGGTGTGCAAACCGACCTCGGGGTCCTCACCTGGAATGAAAGGCGGGATGTGCAGGGCCGGCGTGTCTTTCCTCCTTGGCTTTTTCTGGTCTGACTCAATGTTCACAGCGACCTGTGGATTTTTGCCCTTTCTTGGCTTCTTGTTGAGCTCACAGTCCTTAATGAACTGCTCGGAGAGGTCGTCTGATTTTGACAGGAGGCAAAGAGAAAATGAACATGACATGCATCAGGGTCTGATTGAAGCCGGTCGGTTTCCAGTTCCACCTGATGGCAGGGATGGAAGCCACTGGTCTGAAAAAAATATTTCTTTACTGTGGCCTCTACTACGGAGAATGTCAGTGGCCTTGCCCGAATGCATAGAATGAAATGGAACAGTAGAGTTCTGTGAAACCCAAATAAGAGGATGGAAATGGGATCGATAATCAAGGCAAAGAGGAACGTTGGGAGAATAGGTTCTCTGGGCTAAATGCTCCTTCTCTTTTTCATTTCCTCAATCCTGGCTTTCTGTGGAGACCCCCCAGGACCAGTAGGAGCCTTATGCTCTCCTGGGTCCTGTAGAAGGGTATTCAGTACGCTACTCACCTGGACTTCTCCGGCCAGCCAGATCACACTGCTGACTCACACTGGGGTTCACGTTGGTCTTTTCGCTGCCCTGGCTTTGCAAGTCTCCTATTTGCCTGAGAGCCTTCTTAGAGATTGAGGATTATACCCTTTTTGTAATTTTATCTTAATCACTTCTCTTTCGAATGCATGCATGTTGAATGCTGAGGAGCTGGAGTAGGACCTACCTGAGTTTAAATCCTGCTCTGCACTTGCCAGTTCTGAGAACTGGGCCTTAGTTTCTAGACACTTTAATATTCTCTCAGCTTTTAAGTGGTGATAATAGCCCTGGCTGGTGTGGCTCAGTGGATTGAGCACTGGCTTGTGAACCAAAGGGTCGCCGGTTCGATTCCCAGTCAGGGTACATGCCTGGGTTGCAAGCCTAGTTGGGCCTCTAGTAGGGGGCACTCGAGAGGCAACCACACATTGATGTTTCTCTCCCTCTCTTTCTTCTTCCCTCCCCCTCTCTCTAAAAATAGATAAATAAAAATAAAAAAATTAAGTCAGTAGGGGTGTGTGTGTGTGTGTGTGTGTGTGAGAGAGAGAGAGAGAGAGAGGGAACTAAAGTTGACAATGTTGGCACTTGATACATTTGATATATTTCAGATGCTCAAAAAATGTCCACTCCAGCTGTTGCTCACCCCTAACACTTTCCACTAGGCTCAGAGAAACCCCCGATATTCCTAAGTCCTTCCATGCTGACCCCAGTCCTGGGTGTCCATTCTCATTTTCTGAATCGCCACAGCATTTTTGCCCATGTGATGCCTATAAGAGATGATCTGGGTGTCATTGCTGCATCAGCCTTCTTTGCCCTCTTTGATGAGAGGTGTCTTGTGTTTTATCTCCTCAGCAACAAGGAATAAATATCTGTTGAGTGCGTGCTTGAATGAGTGGACTCAAACATACGATGTATAAGAACCTATTTTGTTAGGATTCAGAGAAGCTACAAGGTGATACACCTGTTTGTCTTCTCTGGAAACTCACTATCGCCTGGATGCAGTCTGGCCAGATCTACAAGTATGAATGAACGTAGGGAAATTCAGAGATTAATAGGATCTTCTCAGCCCCTGTCCCTCCCTTCTTTTCTCCTTCTCTTTCTGTCTCTTTTTATTTCTATTTTTGAAAATATTCAGGTCAATTTTTTTTCAAATGTTGAAGATTCAATGTATCAAAACTTTTCACTTCAGTTTTGTGGATTTAGACAAAACTTGTGTCATTATTCATTTATTTACTCAGTGAATGTTGATTGAGCCAGGCCTTGAGCTAAGTAGTGCTGAAATGATAAGTAAGAAATGGCCCCTGATTTCAGCTTGCTTATGGTCTGTGGGGCTTTATAGCTGGATGATTCTTTGTCTTAGAAAACTCAGTATACACGAAGAATCTGCCATCAGAAATATTTAATAGCCACCACATCATTATAGCTGTGTCATCAAAAGATCACAATATATAACCAAGAAATCAAATAGCATCATTCTCTTTGGCCAATTTAATAGTAATAAACATTTCCTTTTACCAAAAAGAAATTGAATTCCAATCATTGCAATCTAATAGACATTCACTGAGATTGTACTCTGTGTAAGGCACAAGACTATATGAAAGGGGACTTTATTGAGTACTACTCATGTACTAGGTGATTTCAAATCATTCTAGTATGTGGAATCAACCAACATCTTTTTCGATTCGTCAGCTTCGGTTCTGGGTTTACCAGAAGGCCCGGTGAAAGGCTGCGGGTTACCTTGCTGGTGGGCAAGGGCATCAGGATTAGATCCGGGCCCCTGGGACTAAGAATCTGCATGTCTGGGTGAAATACAGTTTTCAGGATTTGTTACCACACAGCGCAATTAGTCTTCCCCCACTTGATGAACACCACAGGCATTTGCTGTGTGAAGGAATGGCACTTGGAGTGGGTGCTGCCCAGCTGTGGGGTCTCTGGAGGTACAGGCTGGACAGAGACTAGCCAGGGGTCACCACTCCACCCCAGGATGTGACTCAGTCCCCAGTACAGAGACCAAGGCATTTGCTTCAATTTTGACTTTTACTTCAATTACACATTTTTCTACATTTGGAGAAATCTTGACATAAAATATCTGATGGCAAATGGGGAGAGGGTGGGGGGGAGCCATAACCAGGCAAGGCACAAACAAAGACTATGAATATGCAAAAGGCCCATCCATCAAAAGTCTGAGTGTCTCATTTTTAGAAATGGGTAGAGGCGGAGATGTTTCTGGTATTTTCATTACAAAGGTTATGCAAAAAGTCAGTTCTGGAAAGGAAACAGATTGGCAATAAAGCAGAAAAGGGCTATTTAAAATTCTGTCTGGATAGGCAAAGAGAGATATTTGAAATATTTTATTGGCGTTGCACACGGGGCGTAAGTGTGCTGGGAACCACTGGAAATGTGCTTCGGTGCCACATTCCATTTATTGCCTCAAAACCGCTCTGCCTGGAACTCTCTCAGACCCCCCTAAAGATAACAATGACTTTTCTCGCTAACGAATCTCTCCCTGGTGCTTCAGCTGATATCTACGTGGCTGACCCCACGGACCCATGGCTATTTGTCTGTCCATCTGGCATTGGCGCTCACCAGAAGGCACGCACTGTCAGGGTTTTAGGGGGCCTCCCTCTGACTGGCCTGCAAACTAAATGGCCGAGACCCTCCTTTCTGACTCCTGCCACCAACACTCCCACTGCCACACTCACCCAAGTGGCCGCAACGAGGGTCGAGCTGGTCCAGTCTGTCTTCTGAGAGCTCCAGTGGCTGCATCTGCTCAGTGGACATCATCAAAGGAGGGTGGGTGGGTGTGTTTATCCGCAGCACTACAGAGGTAAGATGCAAGCCCATGAGTTTGTCTGCCGTTCATTCATTCACTTGTGAAGCAAGTGTACTTACTGAGCACTTAGTATGTTCCCGACTCAATCCCATTTTCCAAGTCTGCCCCTTCTGCTTAGCTACTAGAAGAGGCTCTAACGTGAAATTTAAGCTACCGATAAAACAAGTAAGTCTCTCCTATACGCACGCACAGAGATTTATGGGTAATCGTCATGTAGCAAATATTCAGTCTTTGCCCTCTCTCGGATGCACTGTGGGAGTGTCAGAATGAACACTTGCCAAGTCTGAATTAGAAATGAGTTAGCTGGGAGTTACAGAATATACTGATTGAACCTTACCTATGCTTTCTCTGTTGAGTTTTACAAAGTAAGATTATGCCTACTTTGCAGGTGAGGAAACTAAGGCTCAGGAAATCTAGTTAATTTGCTTAATCAAATACCTATTAAATATCCACTTTTGGACCCAAATCCACCCCAGCCGATTTCCATTAGACACTCAAGTCTCTTAAAAATAGAGTGAATTTTCTGAGCCTGAATTGAACAAGGCTTCAGGTTTTTGAGCTTTACATCCTGTAACTGTAAAGTCATGAGACTTCCCCCCTATCCATGCTATGGTGGCAGGAAAAAATCTCGGTTCTGAAATAGATTTGTATTATTTTCTCCCTAGAGATTCCTGACATTAGGGCGAGTCTGTTCCCCTCCCCTCCTCACCCCCGTCTTTCCTAGACCACAAATCCATCAAACTTTCCAGAGCTATTAGTTGTCGATACTGCCCAGGAGAAGTGGAAATCCAGAATGAACATGTGTCAGGTCTAAGTGGGAAACGCATTAGTTGAGATTTATAGGCCACCTTCATTAGAGTCTTCCTAGAGTCTGTCTCTTGAATTTCCTTCAGATAATTTATTACTTATGTCCCACCATAGCGAGAACGTGGGGGAGGAGTAAGACTACAATGACCCTCGGGTCCTGTTCTCTTGGGATTCCTAGCTCCCTGGCCTGCAGATGAACACAAGGGCTAGCTATGGTTGCCATTTCAGGCTCAAAGAATTAGTTCAACTCAGAGGTCTTCAGAGGAATAAGCCGATTTTCTCCGGGAGGCCTGGAGGGCTTTTCCCTGGCAGGCTGAGATCATCGCGCAGCAGATGGGGCCGCTACGGGATTGCTTGAGTGGCTTTTAGTGTCACTTGGAGCAGACTGATTGCACTGAGTGACCTCAGCAGAAATCAATTTAGACCGTTGTCTTCAGTGTTTGTACGGAGACTCCCAACTCCCTGGGACCATAAGGAAGTAGGCTGTTCACTTGGGTGCCCCCCCCCCACCTGCTCGAGTGTAGAGGAGGGCTGCGGGCCACCTCTCCGGGTGAGTGGTCTCGGTACTGGGGCCTGGGGGGTGGGGGGAGTGACAGCCTCACATGTGGCCTGGGCATCTACACACGCAACCTCCTCTTCTTGGGGCAGAATGACATTAGCCCTGCCGTGGACTTTGTGCTGGAAATGACCCCTCGGAGAAAACCCGGTCAGAAGATTCATTGTCCGGAAGCAGAAATGGAGGCTCTGAGGGGTTAAAACAACCTCCCATTGGCTGTGCACTTTGAGTTGGAGTCATCCCTGGAAGCCGGGACTCCGGTCGTCTGCTCTAGGTCCTGTCCGACATTAACACCCCTCTCCTCCTGCACCCCCAGAGCCCAGCTGTTCTTTGTACTCAGATCACATGGCTGCTCCTAGGTGCTCAGTAGATGGTTATTTAACTCAAACTGATCTGGATTAAATCTTAGTTCTTTAACTAAAAAGCCACATGACTCTGATGAGGTAGCTAAACCGAAAGGGCATAACAAGGGGGATGGAGCCCACGGGCAATGCCGTGACCCATGCCTCTCCCCCGACAAGCTACGGCTGCTGTGGTAGAATTTGCAAAGGCTGGCACCTTCGTGAGTGCCAACTGGCACCCAGGGACACATGTCCTCTTCTGCCCCCCACCCCACTCTTACCCTCTGTTCTCTGATCTCTAACCTAGAGATGACAGGGCCTAACTTGTAGTTCCTCCGAAGATTAAATAGGATAGCCTCCCACTTTGCATGTTGTAGGCAACCTTTGCTGAGTAACATTGTCTATACCCGACTGAACAGCTGGTTAATGAAGACCAGGTGTAGGACTGAAAACTTCCGTACACTTATCGAATCTTCCGTTTTCATCTAGATGCCGACCCATGGGACGGCCAGCCTTCCTTCACTTGAGCAAAACCACAATCGCTGTGCTGGACTTGGGAGAGAGAGGAGCCCGCCCTCGGGAGAAGAATCGTGCAAGTGTCAGAAGTCCAGCGATTCGTCCCAAACCTGCCACCTGCTGCCTGCCAGGGTAGCACCTGGCATCTGTGGGGAAGCAACCCTCTGTTAAATCAGTGTGACTGAAAGGACGACAGTGGTGAACCAGCACGCCTCGGCGGGCTAGGGGGCTGAGAACTGATGTCCCGATTTGGGATTTTCCGTTACAAAAATACCCCGTGCTGGGCAGGGACATGTTTTGCCCATGGGATTAGAAGACACTTTTATCAGGGATGATGTCATTATGATCTTGGCAAAAACAGTAACAAAAACAAAAACAAAAAAAAACACCTTCACACGAAGGACAGAACAAGTAAGGGGAGGACAGAGATACTTGGAGTTCAGCATCGCCTTATTAATAACTGTCATTTTGCCTGCCCGTTGAGTATTAGTTGAGATGACCTCTCCCCTCCCCACTCCCCATTTCCATGCTCACGGAAGGGCGCTCCGTGGGCCTGAGCCGCTGCAAGGCGAGGGCAGGTCTAATTCTTGCACTGGGAGATGGAACGTCTCCACTTCCCGTTCCTGACCTGCCGCGACTCCTCTCCTAACAGTCCCCACTTCCAGCCCCAGGGAGGGGACACCGCTGTCATCTCGCTGCCCCGAGAGGGTTTCATCATCTCCCCCAGCAGCTCGCTGCCCTTTGGGAGCACTCCGAGCACCCGAGTACCTGCTCCCCTGGGTCTTCGGGCTCCAACCAAAGGCCTAGGGCCTTCGGATTGGGGGTATTTCATAACTGTTCTCTAGTACAGAGATTTGTGACCCTGTTACATTTTCTTCTGACATGGTGGTTCAGCACAGTCTCCGAATGTCAACACTCACACTGTGGTGACTTGGGCTGCCACGGTGATGGTCAACATCAGCCCACCGGTGCTCACCTGCAGAGCCGGGGCCCACGTGCTGTGGACGTCGGGAAATCTGTATCACAGACACCCCAGAGGGGCCGCTGGACGCACCACGATCACGTGCATTCCTCTGCAGCACACGCATGAATATTTGCACTAAAAGCCATAACTAATGACTCCAAAAAATTCATGCCCTTTCAGGTCAGGCTTGCTCTCAAGTGCACTTACGTTGAACAGAGCAACAACAGAAAACATTTGGTTTTCAGAGTGTTTCAGGTTCCTCAGTGGGAGAATAAAGCATTCTGGGTCTGTATTCCTTTTTCCACTGTTGCTGTTTGAGAGAAATGTGGGTGGCCTGGTACAGCACATGCAAGAGACTAAGCGACATCATTTCAGGGGTTGGAGGAGGTTTTCAGGGCCCCAAGGCTAAACTCTCGCAACTAACTTCCTCTTGCTAACTCTAACACTTCAAAAAAAAAAATAACTCCCTTTCTCCAGCCAGAGAGATACTTGTGAAGCCAACGCCACTGAGAGAGGAGATATATTAAGTGATGTGGCGTATGGAGGGGTTATAAGACACATGTCACTTGCTCTTTTGAGAACAGGTGCCGAAAGGTCCAGGGCCCTGGGTGACAGGGAGGGAACCCCACGCACTGAGGTGCAGAGGGACAGGCTGAGGACACGTCTGGGGGGACCTGCCTCCACTAGGTCAGAGCCCGTTACTGCTTCCGGAAGACAGTGGTGCTACTTCTGCCCCGCAAAACACATTGGCCGGTTCAACTCGAGGTCCGAAGCTGGTCTGGGCATTTCGTCCTTTCTTTTCACACTGAGCAGATTTCTCAGCTGGGTGTTAGAAAGTGTAATGTAATCACGGGCAGAAAATGCCTCATTGACCACAAGCATTTGGTGTTGGGGGGCAATATGAGGTAACGACACACGTTGGGGTACTTGTGCCATTCCCTAGCGGGTTGAGCTTGGGGATGTTACACGTCCTCTCGGAAACTGAGTTTCCACATCTGCAGAGTGGGACGACCTCGGCCCCTCTCCTGGGTCGCTGAGAGAGGGACGGCACAGTGTGAGGCGCAGAGCTCCCAGCCCCGGCCCCACCCCCCAACACCAACGCAAAGCAGTGGGAGCTGCCTTCTGTGCTCTCTCCCCCCCCACGTGATTACAGCAGCTGTGTCCTAACTGAACCACTGGAATCCTCTCCGAGTCCCACCTCTGGCTTTCCTGAAGCTAATGCCTAGGTCAGAACAATGCCAGGTTCCGAACCAACTGCGCGGTCTTGGGGACATGGTAATACTGGTTCTCAGGGAGGAGCGAGCTGACACTCAGTCTAATTGGACGGCCTTGTAAAGAATTCCTCCAAAGTCATCAGGCCTGGATTTACTTCGGTGGAAGAAAAAGTGAGAAGGTCATGTCCACGGCCCAATGTGGTGCTTGCTAAAAGGGCCCTCTGGTTACGTAAGATTCATACCCTTTGTCCTATCTCCTTTTAACCTGAGGATGGAATTCAGGTCGAAGAGTACCACGTCTCTAAATCAGTCTTGCTCATTTAGAAGACCTGAATACACAGTATTCCCGGAGGAGAGACGGACTCTTCCCTGAAGTAGGGCAGGGAGAGGAGTTTTGGTAAGCACACTGTCCCCAGCCTCCAGCTAAGGCTCCTCATGCTGCTCCGTGAATCCGCAGCCACACTGGGTGTTCGGCTTGAAACTTCCAGTTTAATTTGCAAGGACCCCACCTCCCTTGGAAAGTGACTGGGACGCGGTGGCCCTTCCTGCTCCCCTCCTAGCCCTAACCTAGCCTTGCTCCAGAAAGCGAGTTTTCCTCTCCCCATCCCAGCCACTTTCCGCAGCCCTCTTTGCTCAGCAACCCTAAACTTATCGAAAACTTGTTTTTCTCCCCAGCAAGTTCTCAGAGTGGAAATCTGAAGCACTTACCTGTGGGAGCAGGTGCTGGGGTGAGAGGTGCTCCGGAGGTGGGGAGGGCGAGCTTCCTCCCTGAAGCTGGGCTGGCTCCTCTTTGGCGGCAGCGGCTGCTGCTGCCCAGCTCCAGCTCCTCTTATCAAGGGACCAGCTGCGCTGTTGCCATGGGGATGCTCCGCTTCTCAGGCGCCAGGGCAAGGGGGATGGAGCGGGAAGGAGGGCTGATCTCACAGCCACCGGTCCCAACTGCAATCACTGCCCGTTACAAGAACACCGCACTCGCAGTTGAGATTGGAGCACCTCGTGGGCAAGGCTGGGGAAACCCCGGGCACACCGGCCAGGACCCTTTAATACTTGTGACAACAGGGGTTTTTCAGGGTCTGACTTTGCAACTATGGAAATTAAGGCACAGAGACGTGAAGTGGCTTGTCTGAAAGCAAGCTCATTCTTACCCTCACACCCACTGAGTTCAAATTTCAAGTACTTTCGCTCACACACTGCCGCCTCTGAGAGACCAGAGGGGAGACAGTAGCAATCGCTGACATTTCCGTCATGTTTCCCAGGGGCCAGGCGGTCCTGACGTTTAATCCTTATGACACCCTGTGACGGGAGCTGCTGCCGTCGCCCCCACGGACCTGATCAGTCCTCTGCCGGGGGTCTCCCCACTGGGAAATGGGAAGGACAGGGTCTGACCTGGGCAATCCAATGCCGGAATCCATGCCTTTCACCACTCTGCAGTACTACTCAGCAAAGAGAGCGTTTCAGAGAGAAATATCACAGCCAAGGCAGCCGCCGCCACCATAAAGGGTGGTGGGTGTATGAGGCCAGGAATGTGCTTCCTTAAAGGAACTAACCCAAAAGTCCCACTAGTAGGGATCCACCTGCAGTCCAGGGGAGGCTTGGGACCAAGGGATGTTTGAGCAGGGGTGGGGGTGGGGCCTGCCCTCGGCAGGAGAGGAAGGGTCTGTGTTTCCCGTAAGCTCCCTGGAGCACGGTGGCCTGTGGCCTGTGCTGATTGGAGGCGCAGCAGCTTGGAGCCACTGGTCTGGGAGTCACGAGCAGGGAGGTGAGTGTGGGCGGTCAGACAGGAAGGGCTTCAGACCCCGGAGCTTAGACAAGAGGCCACCCCCAACAATGCCCAGGAGGTGGGTTCTCGCAGAATAGGTGTGAGTGCTGTTTCCTTTCCTCCCTGAGGCTGCACGCAGGGCGGGACCTGAGAGGGCCCTCTGGGGCTTCCACTACCCGTTCATCCCTGGCCCCTGGTACTGAGTTGTCAACGCCTCCTTTGCATTCACCAGCATCCCAAATAATAGGGCTGGAACCCTGATACCCTCATCCTGAGGCTGGCTCCTGGGTCTAGCATTTCTTCAGAGGCCCTGGTAACCAATCCACAGGAGGGGGCTCCCTTGTTTGACCCAGTTTGTCTGGGTCCTTCCTGGAACCTCCTAATCAGAGATGGAGGCTGCCCAAAGGTGACACTCCTGGCTCTGATGGAGAGACCCCTGCACTCCGAGGGGAAGTCCCTGCAACCAGCCCTCTGTTCCAAACGGCCTGCTTCTCGCTGCTTATCAACAGCTTTGCCAGCCAAAGGGTTAACAGCATCCTCATTTCCAAACTTACATGGGAGATCCCTCTTTCTTCCTAAACTCTTCCATTCTTTTTAAATTAAACCTTTCATGAGATAACTGTAGATTCGCATGCAGTTGTAAGAAATAATACAGAGAACTCTCCTGTTGCCTTAAAGCAGTTTCCCCAGTGGTGCCATCTTGCAAAACTATAGTACAGTATCTCACACAGCATACTGATGTGAATACAGTCAAGATACAGAACGGTTTCTTACCGTAAGGATTCCTGACGGCAGCCTTGTATAGCCACACCCACTGCCCTGCCCTCCCCTGCCCTCCCCTCCCCTCCCCTCCCCTCCCCTCCCCTCCATCCTGGTCCTCACTTTCCCTGCCCCTCCCCACTCCTGAACCCCCAACAGCCACTAATCTGTCTCCCATTGCCATCAGCCTGTCATTTCAAAGGTGTTTTATAAATGGAAGCATACACTATGTATCCTTTTGGGTTTGGCTTTTTCCCCCCCACATGACATTATTTCTGGTGATCGATCTAATTTATTTCATGTGCTGGCAATTTGTCTCTTTTTATCGCTGAGTAGTATTCCACAGTAAGTACCAACGTTCAGCCGTTTACAGATTATAGGACGCCTGGCATGTCCCTAGTGTTTGGCAATTTACAAATAAAGTTCTTATGAAAGTTCACGTACAGGCTTTTGTGTAAACACAAGTATTCATTTCTCTGGATAACTTCCCCAGAGTGCAGTTGTTGGCTCTTAGGGCAATTGTATACTTAATTTTAAAAGAACTTGCCAAAAACTTGTCCCGGATGGCTCCCCATGTCCTATTTCCACCAGCTTTTGGTGAGTGAGTCAGTTTCTGCATGTGTTTGCCAGCGTTCTGTGTCATTCGAATTTTTTCAGCCATTCTCACAGGTGTACGGTGGCATCTCACTGTGGGTTTTGACGTGCCTTCCTCTGCTGACTAGTGATGTTGGACACCTTTTCACGTGCTTGTCTGCTGTCTGCTCGTTTCTCTGGTGAACTGTCTCTTCACGTCTTTCACCCATTTTCTACCTGGACTTCTTTTTGTTTACTATCGAGTTTTGAAAATGTTTTGTATATTCTAGATACCAGTCCTTTATCAGTAATGTATTTTTGCCAGCATTTTCTCCTAGTTTATAGCCTGTACTCTCACACTGCTAACAAGAGTCTTTCATCGAGCCAGTTTTACATTTTCATCCATCCCACTTATCACTAAATTAGTTTTAAAGGATACGAGGTTGAGATTCCTTCCGAGGCCCCTCAGAGAAGCGGAACTGTGTGAGAAATTTTAAAACGCTCTCCTGCCACTTAATTTCCCAAGTTCAAAGGGAATATTTTCAGAGGTGGAAGAGTATGAATTCCTTATTTCCCCTTCAAATAGACATGTGTGCGTCTCCCAAGTTCAGGCTGTTGTTGGGGGTGGTTTTTCCAGGGCTTTCTGCGCACGCTTTAAGTGATTACGCCCCCCCCCCCCGCCCCGCCCCTGGAAGGCAGATGTGCACAGCAGCTAGATGGCAGATGGCGATGTAAGTCTAGACCTCGGAGAGTTCTAAATAACTGTCACATATGCGCAGCGTTGACGCCGGACCCTTGGCCTACGGCGCTCCCGGCGTAAGTGCAAGGAGCCCCGTGTCCACCACGTGATGGGTGGGTGGGTCCAGGAGCTTCAGACGGGCAGCTGATGGCTTCTGGCCTCACTCCTGATGGATGCCTGCTGGTAACTAGCTTTAAATGAATATGCTTTTGTTTTAATCTCAAATATGCAATCTTAACGAAGAAGAATGATCACAGTGATGTATATTTGCCTTCTCAGGTTAATCCAGGGCTGTTTCTGTGTTGATGGGTGATGGGCCCCAGCTTGGTGGGGGTGGTGACGAGAGAGAGAGAGAGAGAGAGGAAGAAGAGAGAGAAACTGAACATTTGCAGGTTGGTTTTATCCCAGACATCTTGCTGGATCTCTGGCTGTCTCCTTCAGCCCTTAGAAAGTAACTGCTTCAGACTGACAACTTTTGGTAAATAAGTGTCTCTGTCTCTGCTTTGGGCGGTTTTAACCACATTTTAGCTCTTCCTAACAGAAGACTATTTGAGTTCATCAGTGTCAAATTCTGATGTCATTTATTCTCATCCAATTGAAATAAAAATATAGAACACATTTAATATTTCATAAATTGCCCAATACTTAAGAAGCACTTATTAAAATGAAAGGTAATATTATTCATTTATTCGAGGTAAGTGCAGATTCACATGCAATTATGGGAAATAACACAGAGAGATAGACCCCTCACATTCTATGCCCAGTCTCCCCCAGTAGTGCCGTGCTGTAAGATAACAGTGCAACGTCACATCTGGATACTGACCTCGACACAATCCACTTGTCTTATTCCAGTCCCTCTAGCTGTGTGTGTATTTGGTCCCACCGAATTTCAGCTCCTGTGTAGGTTCACGCATCCCCCGGCCACTGTGCAGATACCAATCTCCTGCACCACCATGGGGACGCCTCATGCTGTTCTCTTAGAGCCCCGCCCACCTTCCACTCCTCCTCCCTCTGCCCCTGTAACCGCAAATCTCTCCTCTACTCCTGCCATTAATGTTATGTAAGTGGGATTATATAGCATAGAACCTTTGCTATTGGCTTGTTTCACTCAGCTAAATTCTCTGGAGAGTCATCCAGGTTGTTAGTTGTATCAAGAGTTAACTTTTTTTTTTAATTGTTGAGAAGGACTCTATGGTTCAGCTGCACTGCAGTTTGTGTGGCTGTCTACCTGCGAGGAATATTCGGGTTGATTCCAGCTGTCATCTGTGACAAATAGAGTTGCTCTGTACGTTTGTGGACAGGCTTGACGTGAATGTACGTTTTCATTCTTCCGGGATAAATACCAAGGAGTTCAGTTGCTGCCCTGTGTGGCAGCCGTCTGCTTATTTATTTTTACTTTCATTCCAATTGCCCCTCAAAACAGATTTCGACACGGTGATAACTGAGAGGACGCATGCGCATGGGAAGGAGCTCACGTACTGTTTAACTGTGTAATAACCACCCAGCGATTTTCTAGAGGGGCTGCATTATTCTACATTCCTACCAGCAGTCTACGGATTTCTCTGCATCATCGTCAGCATTTGATGTCGTCACCATTTCTTGTTCTTGCCATTCTGAAAGGTGATTATGCAGTGATATCTGACTGAATCTTAATTTGCGCTTCACTGATAACTAATGATTATTGAACATATTTTCAATTTTCATTTGCTTAATTTGCTACCAGCATATCCTTTTCTGTGGATTGTCTCTTTATGTCTTTTGCCCGTTATCTAATTAGTTTTATTTTTAGTGTTAAATTTTGAACATTGCTTATATATTTTAGATATTAGTTTTTGTTAAACATGTGAATTGAAAAGATATTTTCCTCCTCTGTGGCTTATTTTTTCATCCTCTTCACATGGGCTTCATGGAGTAGAGGTTTTACATTTTGATTAGGTCTGATTTATCTTTTTTTTCTTTT